TATCTATTATCGTTTTCTTTTACATTTATACCATGGCATAATTGAGTCCCAGGATCTTATCGGATTCTATCGACTAATTCATCCAATAACCGCTTAGCATTACTCGTTGCGCGCGATCGTGACCATCAAGTGACGTTAATTGCCTGCCAATTGTTCGTAATTTTCACTTTAAACGCGACGAATATTAATAATGCAATTTAAGAAGTCTCGCGACAAAATTAAACTCTTCTCTAGTGTAATAAACCGACGTTGAAATATAAGTCTATCTTTATTTCACGTTATCTCGTTATTTATTTATCGTCGAACACGTCACATATGATATCTTTCCGTTCAGTGCAGATAAACGTAAAATTTTTATCTCTTTGTGGCTCGTGGAGAGCTTGGGAAATTTCTGCATTATCGTAGCAAATAGTCCTGGTAAAAATGTAAGCAGTTTTCCTAGACATCCATTCAGTTATTGTTTAATATTAACGCATTCTCATTAGTTGTAACAATACTGCTTACAAAATGGACAAGAACTTGATAGGATTTGTTCAGGGGTACTTCTAGAACAAAACTGTCCATTTCATGAGCAGGCTTGCTTATTAATCAATTAAATAGTTTTTCGTCCATTTATTGTTCTGTTTTCGTTCAGAAAATGGATTCAGATTTTGCGTATCTTTTGTGCACAATAACTGCAGAAAAAACGTTATATCTTGGTTAGGATCCCAAATAGTTTTATTCTTCAATTAACAGACAGAAGTTAATAAACTGTCTAGTAATTGTTAAAAAATGCATGAAATTTTCACCAGAGTAAATAAAAGAGTCATCGGCCAACCTCGGATGAATTTTCGTTAAAAATATTTTGTTTTTTATCAATTCAAGTGTGTGCCTCGGGATCAACTGAATTCGTGCTATGTTTTGTGTATTGCGACTGAGGCAGATCGAAAATAAAGCTGAAACATTTCCCAACTTTGTCCTAAAAATCCAATAAACTTAAGCGACTGTCACCTGCAAATTTACGTCTTCTAACGTCTTTCATAAGTTGTATGATTTTAGGTGTCACACGGACACCTTTTAGATTTACTCATCATACCTGCACGCATATTCGCGATCCGAGGAAAGCGATTAGTGATGCGTTCATCTTAATTTATTATCGCTATCGTCGAGCAAGTCAGTGAAAATACGGCTCTGTTAATGATTTCGGGCGAATTGTTATTTGTGCCGGTAACACGAACCGTCAATCACGCGGACTAACGGACCGCCGCGACGCGCACGCGTCATTAAAAGCGTTAGCCCGTTCACGTGTGGGCACGCAGCGAGCCGTGTGTGTGCAGATGCGGCCGTCACCCGGTGATTTTCTAGTCACGGCCAAGAGGCAGCACGCAAATACTTGAAACTATTAATGGCGGGTTTACACGAAGCTGGCAGAGAGGCGAGTCGAGTGGCAAATTACTCGCTTATCTCTTTCTTTAATAAGAAAATCGTCGTTATCGTTATCCGCCTCATGCAAATATCCAATATGCAAATGCGAATTTCCGACACACACGAGTTACCTCTGCGAATACGCGCCCTGCGATCGATTACACGAGAAACTTAATCGTCCTATTTACCCGTTTACACGGTAATATTTCTTCCGAGGGTTGCGATCTGCTCTCGGCGGAAAAAAAATGCCGAGAAAGCTGACTGTTTGCCGCGAGCACTTTTCAGCGAACTCCGCACAAACATTTTTACGCCGAGCGTTGTCCACAATACGTCTAACGCGCATAGCCTGGGCGAAAAACACGAATGTACACGTATATACGCTTCGGGTGCTCCACCTTCCGATACCTCTTAAAATCGTTTTAAGACGGTCGGAAGTTAAAGGCGCGATCATCAGAAAACCCATCGAAACCAAGCGACGATCGTCTTGAACGACGGTCGATTTCGCGCGGGATAGCCAATAGCGGGAGGACTAGATTTCCGGAGGCGACGGATATAACGTGCAAGCTCCGTACTTTCTATCGCCTGGAATCACGCTCGCAGCCTGCTGACGATGATTGGTTCGAGTCCGACAATACCCAACAGTTCGTGCGGATTCCAACAGGAATCAAATCGCGACCGAGGTTTGAACTCAGTTTGTCTCTTTCGCGCACCCGCTGTATATACGAGGCGAACGAGGAGTACCGAATCACCGTCGAGTGTGTATTACAAAAGCGCGTTACGGAAAAGGGGAACGAAGCGCGATAGTCGTCGATCGAATTTTATTTTGTGGTGCGTGTCCCTTAGGGTACTCGGGCGTTTCCATCCGTTAAATCGGGTACGAGTGGTTCATCGAGCTTCAATTTCATCTCACGCACGTAACGAAGCTTCCGTTCGTTCGACAAATTATTCACGATTCATCTAAGAACTTTATCCAAAATGGGCTACGAATGAACAATATTGACTAATTTTTTCTGTGTGGTAATATGTGATATTTACCTTCCACCAAAGGTTCTTCCTTTCTGAGATTTTAAATTATATTATTATTTTCTCTCAACTTCTTTTACAAACGCATATAGAAGTCTCAAGTGCGTTCGTTCATAGTCCAGAACCTATGGTGAAATAAGCGAAGTTCTTCCAAATATTTGCACAGTTTCATAAACCTATTCACGCGTGTTTCTTCATTCCGCTAGCGCGGACTCGCTACGCGCATTTTCTGTCAATAAGCATCATCATCTCCTATTTTCCAATGTTTACGATTACGATGAACTTTTGCTTCCGTTGTTCCCGACTCGCATACAGAGAGTATTCGCTCCGTCCATTAATCACGATGCTCGATGCATCCAGCTATACATTTTTATCTCAAATATTTGCGATGCCGCGCATAACGTTATGATTAATTAATTACACGGAGTTCAAACAATGGCGAAAGCATCCGCTGTATCTTGTACGCCGAGCGAAGTGCATGGTCGACGCACCGATATTACTGTGTTTTTGTTGCATTCGCCGTGCGAAAAGCGCGTGTCCCCCTCTCTTTCTCTCTCGATCTCTTTCTATCCGAAATGAGCTTTTTCGCGCGATAGCGTTGCCGCGCGCGAGCCGCAATACCGCGCGCGAAAGCCGGATTACATTAATTAATGTAAGCGCGGTCAAACAGAAACACCACCAGCGCGGTGTCTAAATACGATCTCCTTTCAGCCGGAAAAAATGTCCTAGTGAAATACATGTACGCGCGACATCTCGAAATCACATGGATGCTATATTATTATACGAAGGCGGATTCCTAATTGTCACGATACTTTGAGCTTTAGTACGAAAAAGTTTTTCGATTAAACAAATATAACGCGAATACGCGCTAATACGCAAGCGACGCGCGGAGTATGCTTTTCCACTCGGCAAAATAATCCCAGAAAAGGTAAAAAAAAAAAAGAGAGAAAAACACTCAAATAGCATGAATGCGACCGCTTCGAATTCGCGGAAAAAAAGAAATCATTATTCGATCTAGTATTTCAATTCATCTTCGACAAAAATAATACTACTCTCTATTCTCACCGGCGTAATTTTTCCTCGCACCGATAGACCTTTTTTTCTAACGTCGATACATTGAAATGGCAAAAATATCCGCGTTTTTTCGTCGCCGTTCGTACTGTGCACGAGCGAATGAGCGAGAGAGCTCCGTTAACATGCGTTAACAACCTCAGCCTGGTCCAGCATTTCACCGCTCTATCTCTGTATGTATGTGTGTCTCTCTCTTTCCTTTTGCCCCCTTTTGCCCTTCATGAAAATATCAGTCTGTGCGTCTCTCTTTCTCCATCGTATCCACCGGTAAATCGCTCGCTTATCCGTCTCTCCCCCGTCATCCCTCGATTTCAGCACATAGATTACGACCATCGGCACGCCGGTATGGCGTGCGCCCATAAAAACCGACCATGTATAAAACCGTCGTGTTCCCGCGTGCTCGACGAACGAGCATTTTCGTCGAGTCCCTTCTTACCTACGTCGTTCTTTTTCCGCAGGGTCCATCCGTGTCGCCCGCCGACACGCCGCGAGCAAGAAAATACAGCGGAGAACAAGAAACATAAAGAACGATAGGTTTAGCCGTTACTTACGGGAGGCAAAATTTTCATGTGTAATTCGGGCTGAAGTAAAAAAAAAAGAGGCACATTCGCCGACGAGTTCGCGTAGCTTTAGCAGCTCGTAAAAATGAGAACCCGGAGTTACTTTCACTACGATAGCCGCGCGCGAATCATATTTTGTTATAAACTTTTAATCAATATTTACGGTTCCTCCAGCTCATCATTACACGAAACGTGCTCACACACTCGTTTGCGCGCGAATGAACGGCGAGGAGGGGACACTTTTTGTTCGGCATGTCACCTCTGTGGTTTCATTTCTATACGCATGTCAGAGGTAATAACGATAGTTATTAACCTTTCGTGCTCGAAAGCCGGATGTACCGGTCGAAATAACTCGAATATCCCGAATTACGACCGCGGATGGTTAAAGCGTTAATACAGCGCATCTGTACTGACGCAAATGTATATTCAGTACATTTCGCGTTTTAATAACAATTAACAGTATCCAGAGAGAGAGAGAGAGAGAGAGAGAGAGAGAAGGAGCGATTTTGGTGTAATTAAGAGTATATGATATCTGCGGAACGAGAGAAGCAAAAGTATCGTTCTGCTTTGTACTAGAGCGTAATTCACCATACCGATAGGGAATATCTATGACGATCAATGGCCACGTTCAGCGGAACGTTTATTTTGCAACTGTTGGAAGTTTTCCGAGCTGAGATTGGATTATTCTTTCAAACGGGGGGGAATAATCCAATTCCAGCGCAGAGAACTTCCGACGGTTGTAAAATAAACGTTCCGTCGAACGCAGCCGGAAATAAGCAAACATGACGTCAGACGATCACATTCGGCGCGCTAAATATAAATCCTCGCTTCGTCGTGACTTCGGAGCCCCTTCTTGCGTTGGCAAGAACTGCCCCTCCGCGCGGACAAACTTTCGGAGCTGTCCCGGCTACGACATAGTATCGCCCGTCGACATAGACTTACCGTTAACGATAGCGATGACGCCGAGGACACACAGCAGCAACGATTTCGCGCACATCTTAGCTCCTTTTTTTAGGAAGGCGATCTCCCTCGGCGAAAGAAGAGCAGGAAGAGAAGGCAAACGCGCGCGCACACACACGGCCGATCCTTACGTGCTTTTCCCGAGCATCGTCCGTCCCCGTCCTCGTCCCCGATCGAATCGTCCTATTAACGCTCGCGACGGATTAGCCTTGTTTCTCTGATCGGCGAGTCCGGATCGATCAGTCGATAATGAACAGCAAGACGTTCCACGGGAGAGCTGGGCTCGCCGTCATTGCGGAGTGACGCCGGAAATGCGTCGAGTCGGCGACATGGATCGATGGTCGATTCACTTTTCCTCCGTGAACGACGTCTCAAGGATGGGCGGACGGCGAGGATCGAGCGTGCTCGTCGGACGGAAAAGCGAGTTACGATTGTGAAATAGCCGAGCACTAATTAGAGGCGATCGCATTAATCGGCTCTTAACCGCTAAGGCACGGGAAGTACCTCGATCGAAATCCTATCTCGCCTGTCTAACTCGCCGCCTCTCGCGATAACCCGAGGCTCAAGCTTCCGAGGGCTTCCCTCCTTCTTCGTCCTTCGTCCCCCGATGCTCCCTCTGAGGTTTCCTTCTCTCTTTCTCTCTGTCTCTCTCTTTCCGTTCTCCTCCTTCCTCTCCTTCTCCTCCGGCTGCCAGCTCGTCGCTGCCGCTCTTCGCCTTTGGTTTCTTTCCTTCAGCCTTGGGACATAATACCCACCCTTCCCGCCGCAAATCCTCGATCTACTTGTTTGTTCTCGATGACGTCAGCTACGCCGAAAGCTACCCCGCGATTCTTCACGATGCGAGCTCCCACGATGCGGGACGGACCGGGGGACGGGGTAGAGGGGGGATTCTCCCGCGAGTAACTTACTTCCGAGTAACTAAAAGTGCCTTTCGGCAAAACTAGGCGATCCTCTTATTCATCGAACGGTCCAACTTTTTGTCTCTGATCAAAGCACCCGATCGACGAGCGGAGAGAGAGAGAGAGAGAGAGAGAGAGGAGGGGGGGAGAACGCGAGCCGATCGTCTCCTTCCTTACTTCACCGGACGAGAAGTTTCGACTCGTCCGACAGTCAAGTCCGGGGGATAACCCTTTACAATTCCGTGCGGCGACTTCCTCGCGAACCGTCGCGAATGTCTTTGCCCGACGACGCTCGACTCGATCGTGCAGTGCGCCAGGTGGACCCGGGCGATTCGCGTCGGCGAGAATATCGCGGCTCGCAGACGCGCCAACTTTTCCTTCGGAACTTTCCGCGCATCAAGTTCCGAAACTCGCGGAGAAACGGCGCGCTCGCCGCCGTCAGGTTGCTCGCGCGTGACAGCCGGCTGGACGCTTCCGGCCACGGCGAGTTCGCGTCGCTTACTGAGCTCGCGGAAAAGCTCCTCGAGGAAGGTCCGCGATACGAAAGCACGTTTCTCACCCCCACCCTTATCGCACGATTACGTGTGCGCCGCGCGCGCTGATTGGCCGGGCATGCGCTTCAAGCTCCGTTGAGTAACGTGCGTGCCCTCCTGGCTCGCTCGCCGGCAAAAGCAGCGGGAAGAGGGAGGGAGACGGGAGGGAGAAGGGGAAAACGAAAGCTCCGCGATGCTTTCGGAGCACTGCCGGAGTAGTGTTGAAGCGCTGTTGAAACCGCCGGTAGTGGGGCGACAACGCCAACCGGTCGGGGACGCGCGCGGTGACGGCGACGGCCTTGGAGGGGTGCGGAAAGGACACCGGGTATACACGGCGCGTTTCGCGCCACTACTCGCACACGCGTCGAGCTTGCGGCAAAAGTTATGACCTCAAAGGGGTCGTTAACGAGCGCCCGCCAAATTAGTATAACGGCGCGCCCTCCTCTCTCTCTCTCTCTCTCCACCTCCTCGCCCTTCCGTCGGTACGAAACCCTTTCCTGTCCTTCCTCCGCCTGCCTATTTGCCCGTGATTATTTTTGACCGGACTTGCGAAACGGAAGTACTATCCATCATCCATCGGCCGACTCGAGGCGAACACCACTACGCTCATTGCTTATCGATTCATTACAGTTCGCGCCGTTTTATGATCTATCGCCGTGATTGCGCACGCGGATTGCGGTGTCATGAGATACGACTCGCTATTTCTTCGCAAATATCGTCGTGCTGATTTGAGAGAGCAGGGGAGATTGCAGGGGACCCTCGGCAGCTTTACACGCGTTTGTAACGAAATTCGCGGCGATTTAGTACGGTCGTAATATTTCGTAGTAATTCGGACGATTTTCACGGTCAACCGAGCTTAAACATCGATTTTGTCAGCGACTCTGCTTCACGCAAGAGGTGGATCGTTTATCTCGGTCGCATCCATCCGCGAGTTTAGACCCAGTAACCTTTATTATTTACAGTAGCGGGTGTATAAATAGTGGCGCCGCTTTCTTATACACGGTTTACTATATAGCGCACGTGCACAGACGTGAACTTTTATATTTTCCCGGCGTAAAACACAGTTGCGTTTAAAAAGTTACCCCCCGACACGTGCCGGTCGTTGAATCGTTATTAACACCGCGCGCGCGCGCGCGACTTATTTTACATATATAAATAAAAATAATTGCGAAGGAGAAGCGCCATTTATAGAAATAAGCGCACGGCCCGAGTACTTTTCGCGATACCCTGTTTGCGCCGCAAAGATCTTCTCGCGGGAGCGTCGTTACTCACGAAATTACTTTCCATTACGCGAAACTTGCTAACTCTCGGAAAAAGTAAAAGTAAAAGCTTCGCCAGCGCGCGCGGCGCAAAGCAGCCGGTTGGATTTCGCGAGGGACGACTTCGGAAATGCCGACGACATCGCCGGTCCTAGTAGCGCAGTCAATATATAATGCGCGACGTGCTCCTGCATTTCAAATTACCGCAACGTACTACGAGGGACGGACGTACGGACGTCGCTTCTCGATGCTGCCGATCCTCCGCCAGCGACGGTGTGACACTATGAATTCAAGCTCTCTCTCTCTCTCTCTCTTCTCTCTCTCCTCTACTATATTGCGTTCGGGCGGTTATCATCCCGGTTTTAGGTGCCACACGTTATTCCAACCCAGTGTCGGATTTACGGCCCAAGGGCCCCCGAACGCAGTTTCTCTTCGGAGCCTTACGTTGATAAGATACGTATATCACGAATACAATATTCGAGAAATTCTCCGTCATAATTTATACATATGATTATTTCGTTAATGTCATGCGTTTTCATATCTTTATATAACGTCTCGAAAAATTGCTGTGTGCAAATATATAAATGTATTGCATATTTAAATGCATACATTTATGCATATAACTTCTCAAAAAAAGAGGCAAACACAATTTTAAAATTATTCGTGATACGCATGTGCGTATGAAACGTTCCAAAGTTGTTACACAGTACTTTAATAGAGTACATGGAAAAAAGAATTAATTATCCCAGTTAGAAACTAGCTACCCATATAACTAAAATTTAATTACCAGACCTATAATTTGTAGCTGTGGGAGCTAATTCTTCTTTTCCGTGTATGACTGCAGTCAAAAGAATTAGCTTCCGCAGCTAAAAATTAAATCTGATAACTAAATTTCAGTGGTATCATTACAGACAGCTAGTTTTTAACTGTGAAAGTTAATTCTTCGATTTATCGCGAAATCTTAAATCTTTGTAATCAGTTTTTTCACTCACCCAAATATCGCGAACTCAGGATTGGCCACGTTCCACTTGCTCATCTGGAATAAAGAGAGATACAGTTTTACCGATTAGATCTAAGGTTTCGACGTAACGAGTGCACGTAGATAGAGCGGGTTAGTCCTTTGCGGTCGTAATTCCGGGATTTTTATTCTGACGACTATATCTTAGCTTTCGATCGCGAAGGGTTACAGGACGGAGTACAGAGAATCTGACATAAACCTACCTTCGAGCCGAATCCGCTCGGCCCGAACCGGATCCTCCGGTGCTGCATCCGCCACCCGCCGGAACTGCATCCCCGAAACTGTATGTATCGTACGATCATAAGCGTTGCTATATCTGGAATAAGAAATATTTTTCTTAATTAGTTACAGTGGATATGGCAAGTGTTCAATCTAGATGGGTTAGAAATTCAGAAGTATTCTACTGAATGTATTTTTTCTTTAAGGTAGTTGTAGAATACCGGATATTTTCAGTGGCGATATTAAAGAGTTCCTATGTAAATTTATTATTTATTGAAAAAAATACTTTCCTAAATTTTGATTCAATTATCTAAATAATAAATGTTAATTTTGAGTAAAATTAAGACCAATATACACACAATGTTACCAACACGGAGATATTATTTATTTTTGTATTTTTCTTATTAATGCTTTATTCATACGTCAGTTGAATTAATAGAGGTGCATACATAATAAAGTGGTATTCCTTTATTACGTACAAAAATATTCCACCGTTTTTAGCCCGTTTTAAGCCGCATAAACGGTTAGTTTGAATAGTAAAAACGTACATTCCACTCAATGAATATGACGTTTTTCGTTGTAAAGGGGCCATTTTAAGTAAAAACGAGTGGTAAAAATAGGTTGCATACGAATATATAAACGTAGTGTTGAATATTTTTAAGTGGTAAAAACATACACAGAAATATAACGTGCAAATAGGTTAAATTTGTAAATCTAACCAGGCTCTATCTTATGCTTAATTAATATAAGTTCTAACTAATATACCTACAACTTTCAATATAAAGTAATTTTAATACACACACAGAAAGAAAATGTGATAATCATTCTTTAAATAATATGACGTCCGCACGTTCGTGCCGCTTACAATTACTCCAAGTCGATAAGTATATATTCAATATGTTTTAGTCTCTTTTTATATTAACTTTGATTAATTGAACAATACCAAAAATAACGGTCGACGTCACTCGACGTGTTAAGGATCCCCGGCGTCAAGGATCGTTACGATTTTACGTGCGTCCGAGTATGCGGCACGCCGGATGTGTTATTTATCAATATGCCCGCTATTCCCAAAATATTTGGATTTAATTTTTCAATTGGATATTTCTTTCTTATTTTGTCAGTTCCGTTTCGATAGATATTATTTTTCGCGCTATTATTAATCTATAGCCTGATGCCGGAACTTCAACTAACGCGAACACCTTCGTGTTCTGGCTCACAGTTAATGTAATTCTCAATTAATTCACGTACATCACAGTGGTCGAACTTAGAATGGAATGGGCGTCACGTCCCTAGAGACATAAATAATTATCCAATAGTTGCAGTAGCGTAGCGGTAAACGCAGATATGCACCGCCGGATTCACGCGTTGTATAATGAGTGGCATCGCGAGCTGAAATGTTAATCTTCCGTGCATTCAAGCGGTTCACCTGTGTTCACGCTTAACTGTGTCAAATAGCCACTTGATCGTTGAATTCACTGAGTCATAACGAATCGACGTAACGGTGGTAAGAACAAAGTAACGGCGGATTGCAAGAACTTCGATAGATCAACTGATGCCCTTCGGCATTTTCCGACTCGGGTTCGTAAAACAGCATAAGACCAAATTTCTGGAAGCCACAAAGTTGGAACGAGAAATAACGAGAAGTAACGTCAAAACAAAAAAAACTCAGAAAGAATCGTAAAGCTACTTCAGCGTTGACGTCAGATCTCTTCTTCTACTTATATCAATCACTCTGCACACCGTCTTTGTGTAATATAAAATTCTTTGCAAACTACCTACCGCCCCGTCTCCTATCCCCTCCGCCCCACCTGTAATTAGACAGTGCATTAGACGAAGCGAAAGACAAAGCCCGTTAACAAAAGAGCATCTCTTGGCTTCTCAAGGAGGAAAATGTTTACAAAGCCACGTACGTGGAATCGTACGGATTGGCGTCTGACAAATGGAAGAATTTCAACTTCAAAGAGAGAGTATTAAGTTTGTGATTCTCTTGGCGCTACCCCTGCCTGTTCGTGACACAAAGCGAGCGGTGAGGATAATAGCGAGATAGAAAGACGGTTCTCACGACGTCGTTAGTTGTTCGACGTGTGGCTGCGGTAATTAAATATTAAAAAGGAAAACAGGGAGAAAAAAGGAAAGAAGAGGAAGAGAGAAATAGGGGGAGAGAGGGAGGAGAGGAGAGAGAGAGAAAGAGAAGAATAAACAAGAGAGAAGCCAGAGAAAAGAGGAGAAAAAATGCGTACGCTCGTTAGATTCGGATAACATTAACCATTCGTCGCCTGTTCGAGTTCTTAATTCGCGTTTCAAAGAGCCCGACATTTTTCCGAGCGATGACTCTAGCAGACTGCGGCGATAATCCAGTGAAACGCGTCCGACGAAGATGAATTCCGCACAAAAAGATTTTCGCGTCTACCGTCTCGCGCGCTTTGATCGGCGTACCGTCAAAGCGACGTTTCACTG